GCGCCGCTAGCGGAGGATCTGCGACAGTGAGGCTCGTTCAGCAGCCTGCGGCGCCTTTTCGCATGCCAAGCTGTGGCGGCGGAAGCGCGCACGGACGGAACTTTGGCTTTTTGAGCCGATACGTTGAGGGTGACGTTACATGAGTGCGGGGGCAGAAGGGCATTTGGCTGTTCTCCACTTCTTATATATTGAGTTTGAGTCGTTATTAGGGGTAATTTCTGTAGTGGGGGCCTAAAAAGGGAGTTGGAGCAATTTTCTGAAAAGCAGGACGGCCGCCACCATAATTGCTCTGAGTGGGAAATTTATTTCGCTCGTCGCTGTAAACGTAGGACTGCTGGAACGATGATATTTGGAGGCGAGTGAGATGTTCACTAAGTTCCTGCACAATGTGAACCAAGTTTCATTAAGACAGGAGGTGTGAAAGTAAAGTTTCTAACGAATAAAGAAATAAAACTGTACGGGATATCTAATATTGGACCCAAAATGTTGTGTTATAGCGGGCTGTGCAAAGTGTGGATTTGGGCACACAGGTGCTTGGACTTGACAGTAACATGACACAGCACTTATTATACCAAAAAACCAGGTGGGTATTTGGGTTGGGCGGCGTAACTCAATGGGAACCGGTTTTGACCATGAAAGGGCTGTCAAGAGAAGATTACTTGTCGTGGGAGGTCGAGACTTTTCAGCAGACTTGGACGTAGTTCAACTACTCTACTCAAACTACTGTAGGTTAACTACTTTTCCGAGTAACTTGGTAACTTTCAATTACAACTTTATTTGGGCAATTAGTAGTTTAATTTAACTACGTTTTTTAGGTAACTTCTACTCAAATTACTAACTACTTTCGAAATTTAATAGTATTTTTTTTTACAGAAGTTTGAGTGCAGAAATAAATAAGACGCTGGCAGATTAAGTGGTATTCCCGAAAAAGGGGCCCGCTCACGTTCGGTTCCCACGCACTCGGCAGCCCTAGAAACTGCATCACAGGCGTCCTTGGGCCACGGTGGCGACGACGAGCAGCCAAAACATAACACCGGCGCTCACGAACGCAGTCAGAGATGCTTGACAAGCCTTGGTCGGGTGTTGACCTAATCCGGTAATGCACGCAAGCGCCGCGTTTCCAGCTGCAACCATCAAAGACGGGGACACTCCGAGGGTTGTTGCTGTTTTTATGTTGTGTGCCTTTAGTGAGTTCTGACTCAAGTGGTAGGTTCCATGGTAGGCGCCACTGGGATGACCTCGCAGCTGGGCGCCTGTTCCCATGTTCGCCTCGTCGTCAGCGTATACTCCCTTGCAAAGCCAGACTCCCCCGCGCACAAACCCTGGTACGGATAATTTGTTCATGAGAGCACGTTCCCGCTTCCAGCTGCAAGTGTACGAGCGCCGATGCTTGTTCACGTAATCCTTCGCGTCCTTCCGACCTTCCACGCCAGGGAGACCTCCTCTTTGTTGAAAACGTTTTACTTGTCAGGCGCGTCAGGATACCGTAGTCGCCAGCGAGGATTTCGGGTCACCCTAGGGAGACCTTTTGTTAGACTCAACGTCAACGGCAAAAAACATTTTTTTTTCTCAGTGGCGCAGCTATAACATTGCAGCGAGATGCGCAGTCGTCCGGATGATCTCATCGTCGTGGCGCGAGACGTGATCCCTTTACGGTCAGGTGCACTCGCTCGGCGAAATCTCCGAACGCCGTGAGAATAAAGAGGGGACAGTCATAACAATCTCAACTTGCCGAAGAAAAAAAGAACAAAAAAAGGAGAGTTTATTATAAAAGACCCTCTAGGCCGAGGCAAGCCTCACATGTTTCGTCATGGACACCAAAGATGCCGACACTCGCTTACCCGACCCTGCACAGCCTGCTTCTTGAACGCTGTCTTTGCATCCAGCGCCACGGTGGAACCTCTTTTTAGCTTGACCGAGGACGACATTAAAGGAAAAGAGGAAAACTATCCGATAACAACTTTGAAAGACAATTGTTTCGGCGAGCGAATAAACTATTTTGGAAGTCATTAAATGACTGCATTTATTTCCGGCTCGCAGTGTTTTTCACTGATCAAAACTTCTGTTCATTTTGCTGCCACAAAAAACATAAAAAGTAACTTCGAAAGTAACTTTAAAGTAATTCGCTACTTTTTTACAGTAGTTAGTAGTTTACTCAATTACTATTACAAATGCGTAATTTCTACTCTACTCCAACTACTTTTGGCGCCGATACTCAATAACTTAACTACCTTTTTGGAGTAATTTGTACATGTCTGCTTTTCAGGTAGGAAGGGACTAGTGGACTTTACTGCCAAGTGAAACAACTTTACGAAAGGTGGTTTGAAAGCCGAGAAAAGAAAGTTGTCGACCAACACACGGTTTGGCCGTCAAGGGATTTTGCGGTCAGCTGTTGTGTAATAACCTGTTGTGCGAGGTGGTGATTTTCGGCGCACAGGTACTTTGACATGAACGTAACTTGACACAAGTCTTTTTATACCAAAAAGAGTTGGCATACCGAAACGAGGCGGAAATTTAGTTTGGGCGGCGTAACTAAATAAGGAACTGGTTTGGACCGTCAAAGGCTGTCAGATGATACCACTCATCGTGGGAGGTGCACACTTTACACGTAGAAAGTGACCATTGGACGGTACTTCCAGTTCGAACCACTTTGCGATAGGTGGCTCTAAAGCCGAGGAAAAAAAAAATGTCTACAGAACTCGGGGTGTCAGAGTTTCCACATCCAAAATGAGGCTGATCAAGAAAGAAAGCACACCACATAAACTTCCATACTCAAACGTCGATTCTCCAGTCATTCCGAGTTTCATTGTTGTTTTCTTTAAATTCATATTTGTCACTTTTTTTTTTTTTTTTTTACCGCTCGAATCTTTTTTTATGAAGTACAGATTGCGTGCCATACTTGTCCGGAAATATCATCGACACGTACGATGGGGACGAGACTTCTTTGGAGGGCATTCCTCCAACGAAATTGGCACTGCATACCCGCGAGTGTGGGATGGCATTTCAGTTCGTCCCATCGGCGCTAACACATGTAGGCGTTACTGGTACGAAAACAAACGCAGGGCGCAAAGCGGCAGTGTAGAATATGTCAGCCGTGCCGACACAGTGGCAGACATGATCGGGAGACCAAATTTCTGGCGTCATACGGCACAGGTCCATCGTTGTCGCTGTCCCACAAAACATCGGCGAGGTGAAAAAACTGTGGAACTTTGTCCCCACGAGATACGACGCATAACAATTGAAGCACTTAATGACGCAGCACAGGCAGCACTTCATGCTGTCAACCGAGCGCAACCGCACCGCTCTGACTTCAATGCGTACCAACGTATACGCGGCGTAGTTTCGGTTTCGTTTTCTCTGGGGTTCACACTGCCTATACCTTTGGTACCGGCCGCGCGGCGGCGCGTGAGTCGCGCCGCAAGGAGTGCAATCGGGACTCCAGCGAAATCGACGCCGCGTAGCGGCAGCGGCGAGAAGGTCAGGAGATGAGGTCATTTCGACTCTGTCGTCTGCTATCGCTGCTTCGTTCCCGTAGGCAGCATAGAAACAAACATCGTTTCCAGTAATTATTTTTATGATTTCGCCGTGTCATTCCTACGCACTGACTAGAAGAAGGTTTCTACCGTCGAAATATCGCTTTGCTTTCAAATGTAACACTGATTTTACGCTGCAGTGCAGGAATTTGTAGTGGTCTGCGTGCTGAACGACGAAAACGACCTCCTTTCGTCCGCCAGTTTGCCTGAGCAGCGCGCTCTCTATAGTTCGCTGGAGTCGCGAATACATCACTCTGTATGGAGTGTAAAAGAAGGAACTCTTGAACGTATAGACGCTTCGTAGCAGCTGTGCATGGGCGGCGCCATAACTGACCTTCCGTTTTTGTTTCCTCTTATTACGTTTACTTCACTTCATCGTTAGGGAGTTGCAATAGACCGTTTTTCTCCTCCGCTACGGCATCCGTAAAGAAAACGTCGCAGCTGCGCATGCGCGCCACCAGCCTTGTCTGGATAGTTGGAGGTTTTGTGGCGGATCACGGAGCACTATCCGGGTGCTTAGCGGGCTGCGGAAACGGTCTACTACACCCCCTATTACCAGAGCAGGGCAGGTCATAGCCTTTTTAGATATTACTGTGCCCTTCTCCCCAGCATTGACATTTGTGGAGGCTCGCCTACGCCCGCTTCGGTGGCTCGGCGCCTGTGTAAAAAGGGGCTCAGCAATGGCGGCTGTATTCTGGCGCGTGTGCAAAGCGTCCATACTCTAGAAGTAGTCCGTTACTTTTCTCGCTCATTTTTTACAGCAAATTGGTGGTCGACGCGGTGCTACAGTCTAGAACATTGGCGGATTGTTTGTGTTCTCGGTCTTGCAGGAGGCAATTAATAGCAGCGAATGAATGGATTTGGCACACTCGACGATAAGCATGGTCATTTACTCTACACTTTTGAAAATGTCTGTCCTCGTCCGTTCTTTCGTGGATCAGTGGAGCGTGCCGTTAACAAAGCGCGAGTTGAAGTGGCATTAAACACGTTCCTAATATATCGATATCTACCGGAGGCTCTTATAGGTAAAAATGGAACTAGATTAGGTTACTCGTTCCTGTTGGCTCAAAGCAATGATGCTGTGATTTCATCCTGCAAAACAAATAGCGGATTACACGAGTCGGATGAAGCCTCTTTACGCGCACCGACGGGGTGGGGATCGGCGGTTTTCATCGGATGGGGGGGGAGGGGGGGTCCCCACTTGTTATTGAGAGTCGGAGCGCGGTGGCGATGGCGGCGGTGGGGGGTTGCGTGAAGCGGCGCCGCGGTAGCGGCCACTGCAGCGCTGGGCATCGGCGCCGTTTCGGGGCCTCCCGCGGTGGGCGAGCGCTCGGCGATTGGCTCTGATCCGCCGCCAACCAGAAGTTGGGGGCCCCGGCGAACTCCGTCCAGGGCCACCCACCCTCTCGCGGGGATGAAAAGTTGGCGGCAGCCCCCTCCCTCCCTCTCACGGCGCTCCTTCCCCGCAGTAGCACCCCCGACGCGCTGGAGGCTGGCGGGCACTCGCAGTTTCCTCGTCGGAGTCCCGCGTGCGCGCCGCCGCCGCGTCCGCGTGCTCGAACGTCTGGCCGCCGCCCGTGGATCGGACATGACGACGCATGCCACCCGCAGCCCTCGCTGCTTCGGCCCAGGTGAGTGCCGAGCGCCGCTGGCGCCACCGCACCGCTGCGTCGTGGCCTAGCGCCACGTGCCGAAGAAAGGTGCAAACTGGAGTCTGGCCAGTACGAATCGAACCACTTTGCACCTTTTTTTGTTTTGGCGGCGCGCGTTGTCCGGGCCGCCCGCTCCACCGACGCTTCTTCTGCCTGTTCCTTCCCAACCGCGGAAGTGCGACGCGAGGTTTGCTCCGAGTTTGTGTTTTTGTTTCTTGTGGCGTCTTGGAAGTCGGGTGTTATCGACGCGCTTTCTTAAACTTGCCTGGGGCAGCGTGTTAATGGCAGATTAGGCGGAGAATACCTTGCGGGCGTGGGATGCTCGATTAGATAGGTACCGCGGCTCGAAGGCGATGCGCTACTTGACAAAACTTGGAGGGGTTCGTCTCGCACTCGAACCTAGTCGCGAAAGACTTTTTGCTGAGCCCGCACTCGACCACGTCTGCGTCTTGCGCCAAGTTCAACGAACACCTAATCTTGGCGTGTGCTCCAGTCTTCGTTGAGCCCAGCCTTTTCTCTCCGAGGATGTGCCCGCGAAAACAAAAGAATCGTTTACCGTTGCCTGGTGCACGCGACAGCGTCGCTGCTCACTTTCGAGTTCGGAACCTGGCATATTCCACCTTTCCGTTGTACCCTCTCCCCGTCTTCAAAGGCGACTCACGGGACTGCCCTGCTCGAACCCGCTTACGCGGTCGTAAGTAAACATCGCCAGGCACAGTGTTGGTTTCCAGCACTCGCGACGGTCCGTCCGGCGCTCTCTCGGCGCATGGCCGTCCCTAGCATTCACGTGCGTTTCAACGCGGCAGCGGGCGGTCGCCTCCGCCGCGCACGGATTTTCCCGCGGACCTCCCGAGTCGCGTCGTCGATGCGTCAGCCTTCGGAATTGTGGCCCCGATGACGTTGTGCCTATTGGTGCGTCGTCGGGCAGTGGTCCCCCGCCGCTTCGTCAAGGATGCCGACAAGCGTTGGCCTCTCTCCCGACGCCGGTCCTTCGCGCGGCCACGGACTCACTCCAACGCGGTGTTGTCCCGGGCAGGAAGAACGTAATCGAGGAGTTGGACGGGACTGTGTGATTTGGAGTGTGCAGAGAGATTGAGAACGGTATCAAGTGTTCTCTTAACGACTTTCTTTGCTCATTTTGCCTTTGTTCCGGTTTTCTAAAGATGGGTTTGCGGGGTGGTATCCGTCTTCAGCGCGGCAGAGGATTCTTTGCGTACAGCGAGATGTTGTGGGCCGGTCGATGGTTAGGGAATCATTTTCCCCGGTTCTTCCGAATATTGGCTAACAATGCCCGACTCTTTCCGACGTTCCCGAATTCGGGAATTGTATGATTTAGATAAATGCCATAAGTTTGCGCGTTCAAGTCTGTGCTTATCGTGTGGATAAGCTTGCTCCTCGCATGCTTCTCCACGCTTCATTTCACTGTGCAGCTAAGAATGTTAGCCCAAGGGTTGATTTCGCTCTAAGCCAAACTAAGGGCAGGTGTTTGACACCCGGTGGACTGCTTTTTTGTGTTGCTTTTGACTGTAGTTGGATCATCAAGAAGCAGCGTAGTCCACGGTTCATACGCACCCAAGGCACTGCAAATGTTGTGAAAAATCGTATGCCACTAACAAGAGTCACAGTTCACAAGCAAAACACGCTAAATGCACTTGACTTCGCTCGCGAGTCACGTTACTACAGGACTTGATTGTTCACAAGCGGCGTCCCAAGATTCCCTGGCTTCGGCCGTTAAGAGGTTGGTTCTTTTTCGTGGCAGTATTGGTTGTTCGTTCGGCCAGTGCTGTATTGGTTGTTCGTTCGGCCAATGGGACCAGCTGAAATTGTGTTCGACTGTGCAATATGACCTCCCTGAGCAGCCTGGGGTATTCGCGAAGCACCAAAGGCCTCGACGTGCTCTTTCGGCACTATTCTCATAAGCGTTCATTTGGCGCCACGTCGGCGTAAAGTGTCCGTCGTGCTCGCAGCAGACGCTCGCGCAAAGCTAGCTCCCTCCAACTGTCTCTTTGTGGGCTACCAAAGTCCAGACGCCGCAGTTCTTGAGATAAGGCCGCATTAATAAAATGATTGATTGATTGATTGATTGATTCGCAGTTGAATTAGGTTCGCAGTTGCGAACCTGTTGATTCAAAATCCAGTTCAATTTCCCTCACATTTGGGGGTGGAAGCCATCGGATTGGTTTTACGTTTGCGGCTGGAACGCCCGTGATAATTCATCCTGAGCTTTTGTTTACCGCCGTCTCATTAATCCTGACCTTCAACTGACTGACTCTGAAGCTTCGCTGCCTCGGTATTATTTTGTTTGGTTTGGCCTGAGAATCTTGGCGTGATACGTGTCGAAACCACTGAAATTTCAGATCAAGGTAGACTGCGCATTGGGGATTCTTGTTGTTGGTCAATTTTCTTGGTGTTCCCCTAAAAAATTAACAATCCGATGTCGTGTCGTGGTCGCAGCTGGTGGGAACTCCTAAAGTTTACGAGAAAAGTGACGCCTTCCACTCATAATTGAGCGGTATGTCTTTTGGGGCATCAGATTGAATACTTATTTTTTATTTTTTTAGTTTGCGTTCAATTACCATTAAAAAAAACGTGATTACTTTTAAACATAAAAAAGTAAGAAGTTCGTAGTGTGTTTCAAGACAGTGATTCCGCTCAGCGTACCATCATCCACGACAGCAGAGTCACGATGTTTTGGACATGTTCTTTGTGTACCGTGATGTAGAAAGCTGCCGTAACAGGTCCCGCAAAAAGCGTGTATATGTGAAACTCTTTTTTTTTTTTTTGCGTTTCGGTGTATTTTAACGCGAGCGAATCTTGAGGCGTCAAATGGACAGTGTGTGCTGGACAGTGTTCAGGCGTTCTTTCGATCTCGAAGCGCAGAGCTCCACACGCCCTATTCGCTTTCCAAGCACGTCCTTCACGAACCTACAAGCTGGCGGGGAAGGCACAGACGATGCACTCGGACTATACACGAGGCATTGTTCAGCGGAGACATGCACCGTGAGGACCGGTCATAATTGCTGGCAGCGGGAGCTTTCCTCTATGAACAGTCTTTTCGAGTATCTCCTCCGCGGACAACGGGATGTGTGGGTCAAGGTTCCAGCATTTTCGCTTTGTTTTAGGAGGTCTAAGTTTCCCATCGCACGTAAAGAACTCTACAGATCACCAGGCGCCATTGTCCACTAGCTCGCTTCCCAGTATACTGTTTACTTGCCGTTGCTCCGTTCCTTTATTTCGACGAGCTTCCATTGCGGTTGTGGACTGCGGGTACGGGCAGTGTGCTCTTTCAGCCCTGGAGGTATGGACTTGGTTCCCGCCGGCACGTTTATGGAGTGCACGAGCAGTGTTACGGGAATTCGCGTTTCGGATATGGAATGAGCTTTCTGCAATGCGATCGTGGTGCTTTGCTCGACTTAATCTTTTGTTTCGTCAGCTTTATGAAAAATGTATGACAAATATAACAGTTTTTATACAGACTAATAAATAAGGAAGTATGTTTGACTTTCCTCAAGCCGCGAAAGCGCGATCTCGGGGTGCGAAAATTGTGTGCCGATTGGGTTCACTCAAGCGGAGGCTCCGCGAAGGACAATCGGCACGTCTGGCTCCCAGTCCTCGCGGGTCAGCTGGTCAGTTCTCCGAAGGTAACTTACACCTGGGCCCACGGCACCGGATAGGTTTCTGCTTTTTTTTTTCTCCTCGTTCGAGTGCAAGTGTGTGCTACCTTTTTATGGAACCGGCGTGACATAGTGTCTCGCAATCAATCTCGAATGCTGAGTGTATGATTCTAAATAAATCCATCGAGACGATCGGGTCTGTTCGGTTCTGTACCTTGCGGATGCAGATAAACTTCTGACTGACCAACTCTCGGCCACTTTCAGTTTTAACGGGACAGAGGCAGTTCGAACTTTACTCGTCAGGGGTCAAATCGGTATACGAACGGCATCCAGGCTAAGTATGGCGCTAAGTAAGATGCTACCAGTCCGCGTGTGCAGTTCTCACTGTAGGGGCTCTCCTAATTTGAACACAAACGCGATCCTCTTCCAAACGGTTTTCTCGCCGACAGTGCAGGTTACCCCGAGGGAACGGTAAAACGAGAAATGCCTCTTTAATTGCTATTTTGCGTTACGCGGTTTTCCTTGATGTTTGTTTGAATATGCAGTTCTGGGCGCGCATCTGCCTCGCGCCATTTGGCCATTCGAATGAACAGACGCGGACAACACCCGCCGTCTTACGCATATGGGCTGTCAAACGTCTGTCGCGAGGCACCCTAAAATCGTCCTTCACGCGTCATTCCTTCCTTGGCACACGTTGCGGCGTTTCCGTCCTCCGGCCTCCTTCAGGATTAACCGATCTTAAACGGTAGGTGCTGGGTTTTCTCTACTCTTGCGTCGCGTGTATCTTCGCGTCGTTCTCTTCCAGCTCGGGTGATACGTAGCACAACGGAGCTTGCGCGCGTGGGTTGCCGGAGTGAAGAGACGAGTGGGGGTGGATAACAATCGAGACGATGCACACTTAAAAATAAAGCTAGTAAAGTAGTATCTGCTAAATTCTACTTTAACTTCACACAAACAAATATACAGTTAAACTTTTTTTTTTACAATGGAAAAACAAATTTTACATTAGAAAATCGATACCATCATTAAAAAAATAGTTCCTTCATTCAAACATGATATGTACGCGTTCTTGAATATACCAAAGCATTGTTAGAATTCTAAGTCAAACTGTGAATTTAAAAACATGCCGTAACATTTCTTTTTGAATGCCAGCTCGGCGGCTCATTCTGTTCTGTTCATATAGATTGCTGCTGAGGGTTCCACTCAGAAATACACAACACCAGCGGAGATGAAGAAAATAGATTAGTACGGGATGGAAATGGTTCCACTTCGTGTGAGTTATCGATTGTTTTTTTAAAGAGCTTCACTCTTTAAAAAAAAAAAAAGGCTAGTAGTATTTAATAGGTAAAAACTAGTAACTGCTTG